CCTACTCCAACACTCATTAGCTTTTTTTTTTTTTTTGAGAGAGATTTTTCACTGTAGGGCGCGTGCGCTCGCCAGACAGAGAGAGAGAGACATAGAGACAGAAAGCGAGAAATCACCCCCCAGGGGGGATGGTCACGCCGCAATCCCTTCTCCTCCATTCTCCTCTCGGGCGGGATCTTGGGCACGCACGCACATGCGCCCGGCGTGAGTTTTAAGCCACCGGGTCCGGGACACGAACCGCGGTCGACTACGTGGGAGTCCAGCGACATAGCCATTACGCTAACTGCTGGTTCCCATTAGCTTTTTGATTATAGCCATCCTAGTGAGTGTGAAGTGATATCTCACCATGTTTTATTTTGTTTTTGCTATAATGTGCAGTCACTGGAGAAAGAGAAAGAAGGAGAGAAATCACCTCCCAGGGGGATGAACACACTAGTAATCCTTCTCCATTCTCCCCTCAAGAATTTGGGCACACACGCATACGTGTTCTGTGCGATTTTCTTTCTTTCTTTTTTATTTTATAAAGGAATTATTTATTTAACTTTATTTACTCATTCATTCACTTCACAATTTGACCAGAGAGACACAGAGAGAAGGAAAGTAAGAAAGCAAGCCACCAGGTCAGGGACTCAAACTGTGGTCAGCCATGTGGGACTATATAGCACCTCAACAACTACGCCACCTGCTGGTCCCCTCTGCGTGATTTTCAAAGTGCAGGGTCCAGGACTCAAACCAAGTAGTCGGCCATGTTGGATAGAGCACCTTAACCTCCATGCCACCTGCTGGCCTCTCACTGTGATTTGGATTTGCATTCTCCTGATGACTAATGATGTCGACCATCTTTCCATGTGTTTATTCCTTTACTTCTTACTTGCCAATCCCATGTTACGCCAATGTTTTTAGTTAATAATTCTTACATTTTACCTGTTCAAATTACCTTGTGGTTTCTCTCTCCTTATTGAACCTATACTCCAGCAACATGGATAATCAGTGATTTTCTGAATAAAAATTAAGTGTCGGCCAGTGTTTAAAAAACAAAACAAGAAATAGAAGAGTAAAGCTGAAAAATACTTTCGTTGCTGGTCAGATACTTACTTTAAAAATAGTTGAGGGAGGTAGGACAGCAGTGTGTAATAAAATGCAAGGCTCTGCAAGAGAATCCCACATGGGAAGGTTCTCAGTTCTGTCTGGAGATCTCCGTGGGTACGTCAGGCACGTGCTTGCCAAGATGATCTGGGATTGGGTGTTCTAGGTGGTGCATCACGGCGTCAAGACCTAACCCTGTAGGGGGTGTCTTTCTCTACTGTCTTACTCTCTTTTCAATTGTTGGGGGCACATACATCCTCCAGAGAGAGAGAATTCCCCAACAGCATGGTATGGTCACAACACAATCCCTTCTCCATTTTTACACACACACACATACACACACACACCATATTTTTAGGCTGCTGGGGCTAGCATTCAAACTGCAGTTGGCCATGTGGAACTAACTAGCTCCCTTAACCACTAGGCTACAGGGCCAACCCTCTCAGTAATTTTTAATATGTTAAGTATCAATAAATAGGGATCAGCAGGTGGTGTGCTAATTAAGATGCTGGACTCCCACATGGCTAACTGTGGTTTGAGTCCTTGACCTGATGACTTAAAATTCACATCAGGGGTACGTGCATGTGTGCCCAAAATTCCAGGAGAAGAAGGTATTGCAGTGTGGCCATCCTCCAGGGGGTAATTTTTTACTTTCTCTCTCACTGTCCCTCTCTCTCTGTATCTCTCTGATGAGCAAACACACCCAATGGCAAAAACCTGGAGAAAAAAAATCAACAGAGAAAACCCGAAAAGATGAAAGCTCTTTGGGGGTATTTAGTCTTTTTCTTTCTTCATGATAGAGTATGTGCTCATGACAGAGACAGAGAGAGAGATTAGGGATGAGCACCCTCCACAGCGTCTGGTCACAGCACAGTCCTCTTCCTCTAGTCCTCTAGCCCAGCAGCTCGTGGGTGCTCGTGTGCATACCAGCACGCTTCTGGCTGATGCGCCAGGGATTGGAGGATTTGCAGTTGCTATGTGGGACCTGGCTTCCCCTGAAGCCATCCACCCTCAGTAATTTTTTAAGTTTCTTTCTCTCTTCTAAGAGGGAGAGAAGCAATCTCAACATGGTTCTCATGTTACGATCCATCTAGCTTCAGCCACTCCAGATCACGAGCATGTGTATGACCGGCATGTTCAGGGCCTCCAGATATGAACTCAGAACTCTGCCGTGTAGTTCAGCCTCACGGAGCATTGTGTTACAACTGTGCCACTGTGTGAGCCCTCAATAACTTTTAAACTTTAAAGGGATCCTGAGGTCAAAAAGTCAGAGAATCAGTTATATACTTTAAAAACTTAGAATGCGGGACCAGCAGTTGGCATAATGGCTATGTCGCTGGACTCCAACATAGTTCGAGTCCCGGACCCGGTGGCTTAAACTCACGCCAGGCAAGTGTGTGTGTGCATGCCCAAGATCCCGAGAGGAGAACTGGGGAGAAGATATTGCAGTGTGGCCATCCCCTGGGGGTGGGGGGTGATTTCTCACTTTCTGTCTATCTTTCTGGTGAGCGCATGCACATCTATAGCAAAAACCTCTCAAAAGAAAAAAAAAGTAGAATGTACTAAAATTTCCAACTTGTTTAACATATTCTAAACTAAACGTTTCGGTGCACTTTTATGCCATGTTAAAAATACATAAACATGGGCCAGCAGATGGTTAAGGGTGCTGGACTCCCACATGGCCGACTGCAGTTTGAGTCCCGGATGTGGTAGCTTGCTTTCTCACTTTCTCTCTCTCTCTCACTCTCCCTCACTCTGTCTCTCAGGTCAAATTAAATTAAATAAAGTTAAATGATATAATTCTTTTTAAAAATTACATAAACAGGGACCAGTAGTTAGCATAATGGCTATGTCGCTGGACTCCCACGTAGTCAACCACGGTTCGAGTCCTGGACCCGGTGGCTTAAACTCACTCTGGGAGTGTGTGCATGCGTGCCCAAGATCCTGAGAGGAGAATGGAGGAGAAGGGACTGTGGCATGGCCATCCCGCCTGGGGGGGTGATTTCTCGCTTTCTATCTCTCTGTCTCTCTTTGTCTGTCTAGCGAGGGCACAAGCCCTATAGCAAAAACCTCTCCAAAAAAAAAAAATTACATAAACATGGCCCAGCAGGTGGTGTGGTGGTTAAGGTGCTGGACTCCCACATGTGTGACCACGGTTCGAGTCCTGGACTTGGTGGCTTGCTTTCTCACTTGCCTTTTCTCTGTGTGTCTGTCTTTCTCTGGTCAAATTAAAATAAATGAATGAATAAATAAAATTAAATAAATATTTTTTTTAAATACATGAGCCTGCTGCCTTTCAATTATCTTACAAGAAAATCAGAGATCAAGGAAAAGGGAAATTTACTGATACACAGTTGAATAATAATAAAACAAGCTGATGAGGTTTAATCAGAATAATATAAACTAAGTTCTTTAGGAGTTCAGGGAGGAAGAACCCATGTCAAGTTGGAATAACCAGAGGGAACCTAATGGATAACAAATCTGGATTAAATCCTCATTATCATCTTTTTAAAAATCATCAGAAGGCCAGCAGGGGGCGAGGTGATAAAAAGCACTGCACAGGACCAGCAGTTAGCATAATGGCTATGTTGCTGAACTTCAATGCAGTCGACCATGGTTCGAGTCCCAGACCTGGTGACTTAAACTCACACCAGGCACATGTGCGTGCGTGCCCAAGATCCCCAGAGGAGAATGGAGGAGAAGGGATTGCAGCGTGGCCATCGGGGGGTGGGCGGTGGGGGTGATTTCTTGCTTCTGTCTCTCTGGCGAGCAAAAACCTCTCCAAAAAAAAAAAAATAAGCACTGCACACCCACATGGCCAACCACGGTTCGAGTCCTGGACCTGGTGGCTTGCTTCCTCACTTTCCTCTCTCCCTTTCTGGTCAAATTGAAAATAAGTAAGTAAATAAATAGAGTTAAATAAATAATTCCTTTAAAAAAAATCATCGAAAGAGGAGCCAGCAGTGCCAGCAGGTGGCTTAGTGGTTAAAGGTGCTGGACTCCCACGTGGCTGATCTTGGTTCAAGTCCCAGACCTGGTAGCTTGCTTTCTCACTTTCTCTCTCATTGTATCCCTCTATGGTCAAGTAAAAATAAATAAATAAATGGATAAAGATAAAGGGAACCAGCAGTTAGCATAATGGCTATGTCGCTGGACTCCCACGTAGTCGACCGCGGTTCGCGTCCCGGACCCGGGGGG